ATGAAGTGAATTTAGGGTTTGTTATGTGTTGATGAGAAATTTTAGGTTTTCCAGCCGCAATCAATTTACTGTTTTGGAAAAGGTCGTAATTTACCAATTGTGAACGGTTTGGAATAAAATATATCTCCATAGACAGGCGTCATAGCTATATCACGTTATTTTAGGTGGATCAGGACAGCAAGAGATATGCATTCTATATATGGTCTAACAACTGACAGTGGTTGGGTTACATCACAATCTATACGTTTCAATTAATTCAGTAGATTTAGAATGTTCTACGGCAGTCGTGATTATTAAGATTCTAAACACGAATAAAGATAGTATTTCAAAACCGTCAGAAAGTACACTCACCTTTCTCTCGAAGGTCTTGTATAAACTGACTTTCTGGATTGTACGTATTCAAAGGTTTTCCGTGACTGGCAAGATCCAATTTTAATGCTGACAACTGCAGAAAATCATCTCCTGCCTGTCACACAATTCTTGACTAGATGTTGCTAATACTTCTACCTCGGGTAGTTTATCTGCGACAAACATTAACCCATACTTTCATAAACGATCTCTGCAGAAACTCAAATTTCTGTCTATAAACACCGAATACAAAAATTTCGGACATTACGCTCTCAAAAAAGATAAATATCAAACGATTATCAGTAATTCTTCCGTATCCACACTCTCGCCTGTAGGCTGTGTTACACTCACATCACATAATTTTGTCATCACCGATCAAAGAGAAAGTTATTTCTTAATCGATACAAAGATTTAACGAAAAACACTGAAAATTAAGCTCTTATTCGAGTGGAAATACCGCCATGGAAATGTTATGACTCCCACTCAACAAGTTCGAGTGCGCTTTTAAAATACAATAGTTCCTCGCTAACTCGAACTCCCTAAGGGAAAGGAAAATTGTTCGAGTTACCGGGGGTTCGAGTTTACCGGAGTTAGTGTAATATTACATTTATTATATATAATAATACAATAAGTTATAAAATCCAATCGAATCATTCTTCAAGAGATATCATGCCTACCAATATGAATGGTGACCGAAACTGGACGAAATTTTAAAATAAAAAAGATCGAGTGTGTGTTAATAAAACTCAATGTGTTAACATATTCAATTTACGCTTTGGCTTTGGTTAGTATATTCAATTTACGCTTGCATTTAAAAAAATTTATATTCACAGAACGCCGAAAAAAGGAGAGTTAATAAGATCATAATTATTTGTCCGGGCTAGCATGCAAATTAGCAAACATATTTTAATGCAAGCGGATATTAGAAGCCAATTTGACAAAAATACTAGCTAATCACAATTTTTTCCATTTATGAATGCGTGATGGTAATCGAGATTTCAATTTTTTAAACGGTGTTTAAGAAAACCGGAGATTATTTTAATGTCTGTAATGTTTAACACAAGTGAAAACCCGTTGTTCGAGACTGAATGAAATTTACCTTGTGCGATAGTTTTTATACATGGGTGCCGTAAAAATGTGTCTCGTTCTTTTGTTGCTAAACAAAGTGGCTCAGATGGCAGATCATTAGATTAAGTTAAAGTGAGCAAATTATCAGTACAATTTATCTACGATGATATTTGCATACATTCAACAACCAAAACATCTAAAGTAGCAAGAAGCTCTTTATAGAATGATGTAGTCAATTTATTAGCACGGGACAGCTAAAATTGGTGCCTGCGTCCAATTTGATGCACAGCAATTTAAAGCACAGCGCATCCATTTTGACCGTGCCAATAGTTTGCAGCTAAAATTTACTGGTTCACTTTCGGCATTCGCGTTAGTTGATATGAAAATACTTTTTGTCAAGCCAATCAACCACATAATATTCTTTTGAGAGAGCTGTCCTCGCAGCAAGTTCCCAACGACGTGAAATTCTATGACGCCACGCTTCTCTTCACGACGAGCTGCCTCGTCTCGTCCAATGTGTCACCCAGGGTAAAAACCGTGCTGTAAGTACATAGTTTAAACGAAATTGACTTTTTGTTTTGAAATTGACATCTCCGAGACCTTTGTGTAGACCGTAAATATACAGTTGGTATTCAGCCAATAATGAAAACTGTTTAAAGTTTGTCAAATATTTTCACTAAATTCTTGGCAAGCTTCCTTCAGTAAATTAACCTGCACACGCTGGTTTTACTTCTATTTTCAATTTACAACAATTTCATGAAACAACTCTCGTACAACAATCTAAACGATCTCAAAACGCTCTAAGACAGTCTGGATTTATAATAATAATACAGCTCCACACATTTACTTATAGTCCCGGCCCGGTTGTATCAAGGCCATTTAGCTTAAACGGCGGATAAGTCAAAATTAAATAATACTCTTACATCTCTCTTGAATGGTCAACTATCCCGTCCAAAAGGAAAATCGGAATTGAAAAGGCAAGTAAATCTTTGGAACTGTTGTAGAATATGATAAACTGACAAATTTGCAAATATAGTAAATTTAAATCCAGTGGCAATATGGCGTTTACGGCCATGATATCCTAGTTCCATAAATCTTATTAAAATGGAGCTTTCTTTCAACGTAGATGTAAAGGGGATTGAAGATTTATAAATGGCTATTCACAGCCAAACTTCGTTCTACATAAAACACGTGATGTTCAGCTGTTGTTTGCTCTATACACTTGATCGTATTTCTTCGCTTCACTATCCCGTCCAACAGGAAAATCAGAATTTAAAAGGCAAGTAAATCTTTGAAATTGTTGTAGAATAATATAAACTGACAAATTCGCAAATATAGTAAATCTAAATCCAGTGGCAATATGGCGTTTTACTGCCATGATATCCTAGTTCGATAAATCTCATTAAAATGGAGCTTTCTTTCAACCTAGGTGTAAACGGGATTGAAGATTTATAAATGGCTATTCACAGCCAAACTTCGTTCTACATAAAACACATGATTTCAGCTGTTGTTTGCTCTATACACTTCGAATATTCTCATCAAATGTATGACAGTATGATCGTATTTCTTCGCTTTACTATCCGTCCAACACGAAAATCCGAATTTAAAAGGCAAGTAAATCTTTGGAACTGTTGTAGAATATGATAAACTGACAAATTCGCAAATATAGTAAATTTAAACCCAGTGGCAATATGGCGTTTTACGGCCATGATATCCTAATCCGATAAATCATATTAAAATGGAGCTTTCTTTCAACCTAGGTGTAAAGAGATTGAAGATTTATAACTGGCTATTCACAGCCAAACTTCGTTCTACATAAAACACGTGATGTTCAGCTGTTGTTTGCTGTATACACTTCGAATATTCTCATCAAATGTTCTTCGCTTCACTATCCCGTCCAACAGGAAAATCAGAATTTAAAAGGCAAGTAAATCTTTGAAATTGTTGTTGAATATTATAAACAACAAATTCGCACATATCCTAGTTCGATAAATCTCATTAAAATGGAGCTTTCTTACCAAGGGTATATGTGTATATGAAAGAAAACAACCTGTATTTTTTTCTGTATATTTGTGTTATAGATATCACAAAATACATACTGTACTATACAGTATAGACCCTCTGTGATTTATATACAATCATATTTCAATTGTGTGAAAATGATGTTCTTGTAATCTCCATTGTAGAGCAAAAGCCGCGCGAATCATTTGTTTTATGTTTATCAACTCGAACTGGAACACGCGACTGGAACAAGATGGCTTCCAGCAATGGGAAATAATGTTAAAAATGTAGTGTAAATGTATTTGTGTTCTCTTCATATCATGAAAGGGTAAGTAATTTTTGAAATTGTATGCATAAATTGTTTGTCTTAAGCCTTAATTCCACGGGCTAAATTTTCAAGCAAAATGCGAAATATTTCTCCTGCTTCTTTTGAATTGTGAGCAATGATGCATAATTAATTGATTCAAGCGGTCGAAATTCAAAAGAAACAGGCAAAATATTTCGCATTTCGCCGAGAACAGGCGCCCGTGAAGTTAGGCCCTTAGAGTTAGGCCCTTAGAGTTAATATGTGGTTATCAACATGTTTCATTGTGAATTTTAAAATTTAGAGAATGGCATCGACGATATGCCTATAGAAATGTCCATTGCAATAATCTGTTTAGTAAAACTCTTGAAGGCTGCTGAACGGCGTTTGCATCAGCGCAAATAAAAAAATAAAACAATGCTGGCAGCAGATCATGACGTTTGTTTGCCCCAGCAACCCTTTTGGACTATAATATGGTTGACATCTAATATAGGATTTCTTCATTTGTCACCTACATTCATTGAAATCTACAAAAGCTTTATAAAAACTAATAGCACTATTATAGAGCACCTGTATTATATATATTTTTGGAAGAAACCATGTAATTTTGCACTATATCAGTGATGACATAAGCCTTATATGGGGGGCACCTGTTCCTCAACACACACAGTGCCCCCTGGCAAAAATCCTGTTTACAGCCTTGGGGCCAGTTGTTCAAAAGGTGCATGGATAAAGTTATCCACTGGATAGTGACCTAATTTTTCAACTGTCGTAAAAAGCTTTGAAAAACAAGAAAGCTACTTCACAACTGTGAAGTTAAATCTTGGCTACGCCAAGTGGTGAAGATATGCCATATATAATTGCCTGGATTTTGCCCATAATTGCACACTGAAACCTCCCACCAGATTGTTCAAAAACCTTATCTGCTAAACAGTATCATTACCTGCTCAACCAATATCAGCTATTCAACCATCAGTACCAATCTGGATCAGTATTTATATATGCTGAAATAGTTGCAATTATAGCATAGTAAATTCATATACCTGCGTAATATATGTTTGTTTCTGTAGGCGAGACCTAAGATCTCTTGCTTCTTTAGCAAAGTTGCACCATTTCGCAGAATGTTTCTCGGTGAGCAGTTTTCGTTTGTTACACTCTCTGCGACCTTTGGAGGTAAAGCTTCAGATGCGGTCGAGCGCTTAATTATGGCGCGCTGTTGACGCATTCTTTCGATGACGCATTCGTTCATTTGGCCTCAAAGTTGGCTTTTTTTCGTGGCTTTTCACCGGAAGTGACGTACATTGGAGAACAGAGGGACCTGTACATGAAGAAAGAAGGCTGCTTTTATTTTGCAAAACATCCGGACTATCCCAGTGTCAGATTGGAAAGTGAAATAGATAAAGGCACTATATTATTGATCGCGTCGCGTAGCGACAGCGATCTGTAGTTTCGGCTTGTTTTTTTTTTTTTATTTTCCTCTCGGGTCGACCCCCAGCGTCGCTAGCTGCGGGCCATATCACCCTAATCGGGAACCTGCGCACAGGTAAGTTGCTAGTTATATCACGTGTTGTATTCACTTTGGGCATATTTCTTTTCACCTTCGAACTTCGAAGCAGTAAAGTAGAATCAATAAAGCGATCAAAATGCTAGCAAGTGTTATCTTTATCTTTACACTCATTACACATACAACTAACTGCACACGCCGAGCAGAGTAAGCCTGCACTAAAGGATTTCAAGCAGTTTCGAAATGGGCTGTTTTGTGTTACTCCTGCTTTCAACATGCGACTATAGTTCGGTATATTGTTCATTTTTATTATTAAGAACATTTACGACACAAAATTTGCATAGCTGGGCTGGCTACGCCGCTGTGAACGACGCGATCATATAACGCCTAGTAGGCGTCTTGTTACATATAAAGCACGTGTTTTTTTGCCTGTTGATTTCCAAAAGCTGTTTGAAAATACTGACATTTCACCCTATCGTTTCTTCAATTGACGATATTGACGATACGAATTTCTATGTTGATTTGTACTATATTACACTGGTGAAATTTGACTCATGAAATCGCAGGATCGAACTATCTAAATTTTCCCGCAAAATCCGAAAGCAACCATCCTCGTAGTACAATTTTCTTTAAGAATTAACTTCAAGATATTAAAAATTTTATAATAAAAGATAATATGAAACCAGACATTTTTCTCCGATTTTATTTTTCTGTAACTTACCCATTGCAATACCCAGGCTTGTCAAGTAGTTCACGTTGTTCCTGTGGAAAAGGGGACGCCCTTAGAATTGCCACTGATAGTGTAGTGGTATTATAGCATGTACACCGCTTAAAAATAGTAGTAATCCAGAAAAGAAGAGGGGTTAGAGACTCTCCTTTCAAAATATATTACAAAATTTCTACTTGTTTTCGTACGAAGAATTTAAAACTGCGGAGTCGGGTACTGTTTGAGGATTCAAACAAACATCTGATGTTTCTTGATGACATGTGGATTTTGAAGTTCCACTGGTATATCGCTGTAGGATGAAATAAGTTCCGATTAAATTTCCTGCAGTTACACGTAATTGTAAAGATATGAATCCGATCAGCATAAGTATATCGCTCATGCATATATATATGTTGAGTTGAGCCTAAATTTAGTGTGTATATTTAATATAGTGAATACCAAACAATATCTGACGATACTGTATACGCCAATGGCAATGGCCGAATAGCCCAATATAAACATCTCTTAGTGGTAGTACCTTGTTGCAGCAAATTATAGTAATGACACGTCTTTGCATGATAACACCTTTGTATGGCACAAATGCCTCTGAAAATAGTCAAAAGAACTTTCATGAACTGTGGGGATTACTACTTATTTTAAGGGCAAAAATATCGCGAGGGTGGTTATACAACCTGTGCACCTATACAGTAGATAGTAAATTATTCAGTGTATCGACTGTGTAAGAAAATGGGTACATGGTATGTAGAATTTGAGCTACAAGCCTATTTACCAACGGTCAATGAAGTCATTTACACTTGCCTTGGCCGTGTGTGTTTCTTGTTCAAGAACCTGGGGGTGAATGCACAGCTGGTCACCTGATCCTGGCACACATACTTTCGGTCTCAAACAAAAATCAATAGAAAACGTCAATTTCAACAGTTAAATCTTCGTTTCCCGGTTTTGCTGACCTAACGTGAGAAACACAGGAGTTTCTTGTAAAACATCCGAGGCTCGTATCAATTTTTTGACGGTCTGTTATCAGGATGTGTTTGACTTGTATGTTCGATCATAGTTTCATGTCCATAACTTGTTTCATGTCCAGGATGCACGAAATTATTCCTAACTTTTAATTCTAAACCTCACCCTAACCCTGACCTAATTGCTTATACTAAAAGATTTGAATCAAGGATTATATTCGCGGACACTGGACATGAAATTATTACCTATTTCCACCAAATCTGACAGGTTTTCAGCAGATTCGCCAACAAGCTAATTACTATACAAGGTTTTAAACTTGACAAGCCGTCTTAAATGTATGTGTTTAAAGACTTTGGTATTAATACGTCGAAAAAATACAGTAGACACCATACCTTTCTTTGGCAAACGACAAGAAACAGCACGCTTGTTCTCTGGGTTGCGAACGTTTTCATAAAATCCTTCCATTGCCTAAAACAGACCATAAATCCTTTGACAAACCTCAATCAGCTTGTTCATTGCGAGTTATTTAGTTGAACATAACCTCCTGATCAAAATGATCCGTTTTTCGTCCTCGTAAAAACGTACAGATGAACTGTTTAACTATATATTCATGTTAAAAAGTCTAGTCTTAAGATTTTGCTGGATGGCAATAGAACTAACCTCTGTAAATTCGTTTTTTTCGTCGTGGCTCAACAAAAATAGTTTTTTGTGTCTCAAGTCGGTTCCATAGACCAAAACTCTTACAAAACAAAGGATAATCATTGTGAATTAACGTAACGGACTAGGATATGAAATATCGTTCCTATATCAGTTTTAACAACACACAAACCCTAACCGATTTAGAATTTCGACCTAAGGAAGCACCATCAAAAGGTCCAGTAAGATTAATCTGTATAAAAATCACATTAGCTGTATATATACAAGAGACGAACAATTCATCTGGACGAACCTGGGCAAATTTTATATTAAAAGGTAACATGAAACTAGACATTTTCCTACGATTTAATTTTTTTAACTTACCTATTGCAATCCCCATTTTTGTCAAGTAGTTCACGTTGTTCCTGTGGAAAAGGGGACGCCCTTAGAATTGCCACTGATAGTGTAGTGGTATTATTGCATGTACACCGCTTAAAAGTAGTAGTAATCCAGAAACGATGAGGGGTTAGAGACTCTCCTTTCAAAATATATATTAAAAAAATTTCTACCTGTTTTTGTACGAAGAGTTTAGAACTTTTGAGGATTCCAACAAACATCTGATGTTTCTTGATGACATGTAAATTTTGAAGTTCCACTGGTATATCGCTGTAGCATGAAAAGTTCTGATCAGATTTCCTGGAGCCACACGTAATTGTAAAGATATGAATCCGATCAGCATAACTATAGGGAATAGCCCAACTAGCAGAGAATAGCCTAAAATACGAGTTTCCCAATTAGAATATGAAATCGGTTTGTAATTCCTCAGATTTGTTGTAGAATTATACAGTAGAACTTCTTAAGAGCGTCAAAAAGTAATGAAGAGCCGTTATAGGTTTCCTAAATCAATCACCGTTATTAAAAAATGACTATACAAAAGATCATCTTGTAGCTTAATGTTATGGTGGACGTAATTGATCACCTTTGTCGCCACCAGCTGCTTTGCTGGTTGACCAAACATCCAGTTGCTTCCTCTTCCAACCGTCATTCGCTGGCTGTTGAACATGAACCTAAAAAAAAGAAACTTAATTTAGCTACAGCAATACATGAATTGTCTCATTTTTCATTAACTACCTGCCATGCAGAGTTTACTTTTAATACACACAGGTTGAGATGATTGCACCGTAAATGTGCCAGCTTGTTGCACATCTTTCTTTTCGCTCGACCCTAATGCATCGCCGTTCTGAAAAACTACCTGGGATGCTATAATGTGGAAAGATTGGACTAGATTTTATCCGTGAAAATGATTGTTTACGAAAATGATTGTTTACAACAATTACGACACAAAGGAAACCAGGTTAACGACTGCTTGAAGACATGTAGATAAGTGGAGTTACAAGAAAGCTATTACAGCAATAAACGTCAAAAAATATCAACATACGAGCCCTTTCCCCAAATTTCTACCACTAAGTCTTCTATCATGTCAAAGACTACTGTATACGTACTTTCAAGGCGTCCGCGAACTGTCTTTGTATTGCACCACCAATTTGATCTACATTGAAGAAGATTTGCTTAAATTAATGTATGCATTTCATTTCCCAGTTTTAACAATATTTTGCTGCAATACTGGCATATTGAATCATGCAGAGCTTGCTCCAACTCAATAATCGCCTAAAATCCTTTGCACATCCAAATTTAACAAATGAAATGTTGAAACAAGCTCGGAAACCACTTCATAAACTCACTTGCAACGGACAATGAAATCACTTTCTCGAGTGATTTCGTACTTTGACCAGAAGTTCGAAAATGTAACTGGGTGACAAAAAGACAAAAGACTGCAAAAGTTAAGGCATTTCTAACGAGGCTGCAGTCATATAATGCTTGTTTCAACAATGTTTTCAAATAAATTGTATACTGCACCTGCCGGGATGTGTAATTATTTGGACGATGAAGATGTTACAGTATGCAATTCTTCCTCTAGCTTCAAGACCAAGTCTGGAAAATAAACAAAATTGACCCAATTATAATACGAAATCAGGCTACACAGCAAAAAATCAATTTCTTATTTCAAGAAAAAAATGACTCATTTTAAGAAAATTTTCTTAAAACAAGTCCAAATTTTCTTGGGAGAATAATAAGAAAATTTTCTTATTAATTTTCTTAAGAAATTTTTTCTTAAGAAAACTATAAGACTTTTTTCTTAAAATGAGAAAATTTTCTTGGGAGAATAATAAGAAAATTTTCTTACTAATTTTCTTAAGAATTTTTTTCTTAAGAAAAAACAAGGTTTTTTTCTTAAATTAAGAAAGGCTAGGACTGAAAAAGTTTCTTATTTCAAGAATAAATGCCTATTACCTAAAAATAATTCTTAAGCCAATAACAGGATATTTTTTAAAAAAGCAATATATTGATACAAAATTTGACAATTATCAACCAGTTATATTATAAAAAATAGGAGTAATTTTGAACATACAAGTAACAATGTTGAACATAAGTATAATAGAGAATATACGAGATTCATCATTCTCGCGCTTTGTTTGTTTACGCCATTAGCCAAAACTCGTAGTCGTTGCATGAGCTAAAAACTCGTACTCAAAAGCCCAACGACTGCCAGTTTTGGCTGATGGCGTAAGCAAACAACGCGTGAGAATGACGAATCTTGTCTGCTTTGTTTCATATACCGCACAATATCAAGCTAGCAAAACCTATACAGACATGCATTCAACTGTTCAAGTGTTCATCATTTACTGGGACTCATCCTTAAAGTTGTTGTACTTGTCCAGTGCCAATTTAAAATTTGAGGTAATGTCTTCTGGCACATTAGAGTCATTAAAAATTAAGTGTTGTAAAATACTCAAACCGATCTCTTGGGTACGTGGGTAGTCCAAATCCAATAAGTAGAACGTGGCTAGCAAGGCAACCACCGCTTCCTTTAGGAGCATGATGTCCATCTCACAAACAATCCTTTTCCCCAAAATGAGATAAACCTTCGCTTTTATAACAAGGAGGACTGGGATGGTTCCAGATCGCCTGGAGCACCATTGCTCTGGATCTTCATGGTCCTTAAAATCAAATATTGAATATCAGTAATTCAGTAATACTATTAGAAATATAAATGAGGAAGTCAACAACAAGAATATATTAACTATATTTGACAGTATATACCTTAAGTCGATGCACCAAATCGACGTTCTTCTTACTTGCCTTTCTGGACCCAAAGACAATAGGCAAATTTTGTACCACGTGGAAAAGTTTGGACTCTAAAAAATTAAGGAAAGAATTAATTTATAATTATATATATGAGTAAAATCAGATTTTGCATCACCATTAAACAGAGAGAGGCAATTGTTTGGCCAGCACACGGGTGAACATTTCACAAGACTTACCCAGCTTTGGGCTCCTAGGGGGAGTAATCCCAGCAACATCGATTCCATAATAAATGATCACTTCAATCTCCTCAACTAATCTTTCCACACTGTTGGTCTTGAACTTTTGACGATCCCCATCAGTTGCAACCTCCATTACACGCCTCACTTCCTCTATTATCTGTTGAGAAATAACTGACAATATTATGACTTGAACTATACAGGATGCACCTAAAATGTGTAGGGGTTTGATACTTTGATTTATAGTTATGTTTAGACTACATGACATTTAAGTTTTGATGTTTTGAGCAATGGCCGCAACATGGCCTGAAATAATAGAGTTTGACAGAAATCATCATTAGACATAAATGTTAAAGATAATCGAAAAAGGCCAGATAAAAAAGATAAAGGTATCAGACTTTAGAGCACACAAGAAACATATGTACCCAACTATAGATTTTAGCCAATGGGCAAGGTGGCCATAGTCTAGAAAGACTGATTCTTAAAAAGATAACTTATATGTCTACCTCTACATGATCTTCAAAACAAGGGTACTTTTTCATAAGTTCCTCGATTCTTTCTCCAGGAGAGACACTTGTCAACCACGCTCGTCTGGCACTAAACTCCTTGTTTAGGTAGGAATTGACAACTTCGACATTGGGTTTTTTCTTATCCAATTCTTTCATTAATCCTTTGTAATGCCTATTCATCACCTCTATTCCATCAATGGAATTATCTAAAGAAAATTAAAAACTTAATTAGTGTGGGTCACTCTCTCCAAATTCCACCACCTGCAAATACATATAGATATTAACCCATTTTCTTTAAGGGATAATATATGTTGTGAAAATTGGAGTATTTTATATGGTCAAATATTAGTATTATTATGACAATTAAAATGTGCTGTGAATTCAATAAATAAATGCAAAGTGTTTTATTACCATCACCACTTTCATTATTACAACCATCATTCACAAGGATTTCCTCTTTCTCTATACAATCTATCTTGATAGATTTAGTATCTGTCTTTGCAGAGTCTTCTTCTGTAATGCTCACATACTTTCTCTTACTAGCTGTAGGTCCTTGTGGTTTAACAACTGGCTTTTTATTGCTCAATCGCCTTTTCAGGTTTTTGAACACAATGCCCTATAAACACATAATTTAATAGAAAATAGGCTATGTTATACTGCAGATAGAATTAATATACAGGGTGTCCCAAAAAAAACGCAACCACTTAAATATGCAAGAATATTAATATATTGTTCGGGTTTGCACCATAGTTCAGCTAAAATGACTTTTAGCATTGTAAATGAAGGATTAAGAGCCATTTTCAATCCCCAGAGGTGCTTATCTATTGTGCTTTAGAGCTGTATTAATGTTCTGCATATTTAAGTGGTTGCTTTTTTTTTGGGACACCCTGTATATAGGCATCTAATGGTAGATAGATTCTACAGAAAAACAAATGGAGCAGCAGATACACCAAAAATTAAGATGCTGCCCACACTTCAACCTGGTTGTAATGGATTGCTTGACGATAATACACATTCTATATTATGCTGCATATTGAGCTCAGACAAAAATAGATTGCATAATAGAAGAGATGGGATATACCATTAATATTTATATGTACATGTTATAATAGTGAATTGATAATACTCACATGGCCTGTCTCTGCATCTCGGAGGAAAGGATATACCACAATAAGAGATTTTGACATTTCTTCAAGCTCAGCTGATGTTGGGAAGCGGTTGAAAGGCGGGACAGATGAAGCTGAAACCATATTACTAATAGTACCTCGTATTAGCCTTTCATATTCGGGTTTGGTTAAACCTCCTTTTGACGCTGCAGCTTGAATGGCTGGATCTGAATACAATATATAAGCAGGGGATTTCTGTGTGGCTGGTCTTTGAAGGTTTGGAGAACAAGTTGGATATGAGGTGTTTTGTGGATCACTGCTTGAAAGTACCAAAGGGGATGTTGGCATTCTGGGAGATTTTGTAACTGGGGAACTCTCTATTTCAAAGACATCGTCTGAAAAACATGGTGATGACACCCGAGGTGACACAGAGCTTGAGGTTGATGGTGAAGAAGGTGTCTTTGAAGGGCCTCTTGATGGTAGTGAACATTTATCATCCTAATAAAAAAAGATAATATTTTTTAGCTATACTATAGTAATATCCTGTGATAAGGGCTTTGAAACACATGTATGAAAACTAAATTATAAACATAAAGATGCCACCTATCATCATTTAATACTAGTTAGAGTATATATGTTGTCCCTGCCTTAAATTCATAAACACTTTTGTGTTAATTACTCAAGCTTTGGGGAATTTTTGACTCAATGAGATTGAGATTAGAGGGTCTTCCTTAGGAAAATTATGTAATGTAGAAGTGCAGGATGCAATGGAATCAAAACCAGTGCCTATAAGCTATATCCTGTGAGAAATATAATTAGTGCATTGGAAAGTGGTGATTATGATGTCGAAAGACTGTAAAAAATCATTTGAAGAGATTCCTTAACCCTTTTAGTAATATCCTGTGATAAGGGCTTTGAAACACATGTATGAAACCTAAATTATAAACATAAAGATGCCACCAATCATCATTTCATACTAGTTAGAGTATATATGTGTCCCTGCTTTAAATTCATAAACACTTTTGTGTTAATTAATCAAGCTTTGAGGAACTTTTGACTGATTGAGATTAATACTCACATTTAAAGAAGCCTGTATTATCTTCCAAACTTTAGACCGTTGGATTATTCTTCGACCACCACCTGGGAAAATTTCTGACAAAGCTTCATAGCAAAGCTCCTGAAGGTCTTCTTTTTCTGTGAGTTCATTTTCTACAATAGAATTAAATGTGAAATATATCAGGAACATAACAGTTTAACAGCAGGGCCTGGCCAGATATATATATAAGTCCTATTCACTATTTACTAGTTTTAAAATGGCTCATGTGTGAAATTTCGAACGTTTACATCAAATAGTAAATAGTAAAATAGGTCATATTAGTTCAGAATATTATTGTTTAAAGAATGCTTCAAAGAACATGTTATTAAAAAAGCAAATAAAACTATTAATATATCTATTTATCTTTTGACTGCGACTATGGAGGCAACCATGTGGTCTGTGTGACAGAATCCTAAAAGCCCTAAAAATCATAGATTATTTAATAGAACTTACCCTTCAGAACATCGCCGATATCTTTTGACGCATCACATATCAAATCAATTAAAGAATTCTTTTCACCATTCATCGTAAAACCAATAATTTTCTAAAGCTTTGCTGTTTTATAGCGGTTGTAAAATTCCCTCGAGTGTAGAAACAGGAAAGTATGTTTACGACGCCGCGAATCTTGGGAAATATTCAAATTACCCGCCTCATTTCACTGCCTTCGCTCAGTGTTTCCATTACTATTATAAATTTTTTTCACGAAGCTTTTGTGAATTTACAACTTAAAATTCGAAACCAATCACCGGATTCACCATTTCATTTTGATTCTATACTATATTAGGCCGGACAAAAATGTAACTTATGTTCTGAAAATGTTGAATGTGTTCGTTTTCAAAAACGTTGGAGGGATATTTTAAATGAAGTTTGACACTAAAATAGTGGAGACACCCATTTTTTGTTTATTTTGAGTTTTGACAGATTTGACTATTCACTCTGCTATTTAGTAATTTACTGCTAAACCACGGTTAACCACCGCTAAACTGAGGAATGAATGAACATGGAGGACAACACTCAATCGTTTGGGGCGATTTGGAAATGTTTTATTTGCAGTACTTTTATTGCTGTGACCTTAAAAGCTTTGATGGGCCATTACTTCGCAGTGCATAGCAACGAGCCTAACTTTTTGGTGAAATGTGGAGTTGATAATTGCCCTGCTATATTTCGAAGATACCACTCATTCTACAAACACGTGTCCAACAACCACAGGCAAGTCTACGACAGCAATACAGAAGGGGTTGGTCAAGCAACGATCCCTATAATACAAATAAATCCATTTGCAATCAATGACGAAGAAGATGTTGATGAGCATGGACCTGGCAATTCCAATATTTCATCGAGTGAGTCAGAGTCAGAAAGTGCTAGTGGCAGTGACTGGGAGTTAATATCTGACAATAGTGACCCAAATGAAAACCCGACGGAAAATCAGGTATGCAGCTTTTTATAATTCATAAAAAACTTGCCCTTTTTGTTTGTGCTGTACAGTCTGGTGCACCGACTCTTTCATGACAGCAAACTTAAAAGTTATTATAAAATAAAATAAATTTTTATATTATAAACAAGCTATTATTGCCTACTATTTGAGAAAGTGTTTATATGTTACTTTGATTTATTATCTATTTATGATATATTTTATTGTTAATTCTTCTCATTTGGATGATTTCACTACTGTGAACTGAAGGAAAGAGTTCTGCATGCATTATAGCATGAAAAATATATAAGTAAAAAATAATATATGTAATATTTTCAGAGCTTTGATTTCCACCGAAATGAAGCACTATTTGTGCTAAAGGTCAAGGAAAGGAACAGTATAACCCAGGTATGTTATTCTTTGGATTTTATACAATGTCTATCACGCCATTGAGTGGCAATTAGCTCCATCAGTTAAATATCATATAAGTCCCTCATAATGCCATGTAGATGACAGTTGCTTATACCCTTAGAATAATTAACTTTTTTCTCCTTACTAGGTGGCACTTGATAATATAATTGATTGCACATCAAACATTGTCAATAGTGCCTTAAATGTTGCAAAGAGAAATATAATTAGTGCATTGGAAAGTGGTGATTATGATGGAGACATTCGAAAGACTGTAACAAAATCATTTGAAGACTTTCCTCAACCCTTTTCATCTATGAGAACAAGTTATTTGCAGACATCATACATAAAGAAAAACTTCAACTATGTTGAAATCAAGGAGGTACTACTTGGAAAAAAGCTTTCGAGAAAAGTTTGGAAAAATAAACGGTCCCTTGTAGAGAAGGACGAGACTTTTGTTTATATTCCACTGATTGAGAGCCTGTGCCAACTTTTGTCAAACAAGAGAATTGCTAAACTAGTTATCAAAAAGCCCAACCAGTGTGACCGTGATATCTATTATGACATTTGTGATGGCCAGCTCTTTCGAACTGATAAGTTTTTTTCAGATCATCCTGATGCATTGCAAATCATCATATACCATGATGCAGTTGAGGTTTGTAATCCTCTTGGAAGTCAAGCTGGTAAACATAAGCTGGACATGTTTTATTACACATTAGGAAATTTTAACCCAAAGATTAGATCCAAGCACTGCGCCATTCGGTTGTTGGGCATAGCAAATGCAAAACTGGTTAAAAAGTATGGTTATAATGCCATATTGAAACCTATCATTGAAGATATCAAGAAAATTGAAAGTGGCTTTCCTTGTGTTGTAAATGGTTCTGAAAGACTTGTTTATGGAAAGGTAATCAGTTGCACTGGTGACACAGAGGGCCAACATGAATGGGGAGGTTACAAAGTTGGTGTAGGCTTTGCATTTCAGAAATGTCGGCATTGCCAGTGCACTTATGAAGCTATGCAGCAGAGTTTTTATGAAGAAGACTTCATACAAAGGACAAAAGAAAGCTACAATCGACACTGCGATGAAATTGAACAAGCGCCAACTGATCAACACAAGAATGACTTGGGTACTACCTATGGCATTAACCACCGTAGTCCCCTTTGTGATCTTAACGGTTTTGATGTCACTAAACAATTGCCACAGGATATCATGCACACTTTGCTTGAAGGTGTTGTTCAATATGAGCTTCGTCACATATTGGCATATTACATGGAAAATGGACATTTTACGCTAATTGAACTAAATGCTGCAATTGCTTCTCAAACCTATGGCTATAGTGAGGTTTCTGATAGGCCAGGTCCTTTAAGAGAGTCTGTATTTCAAGGGGAGGATGGTTACAAATTGAAATTCAAAGCTTCCCAAACACGATTATTCCTGAGGCTTCTACCATTTATTTTGTGTAGCCTAATTCCAGCTGGTGATGATTATTATACTCTAGTAACTGAGCTTATTGAACTCTGTCAGATTATTTTCTCCCCTGTCATCACATTGCCTACAATCAACCTGTTGAAAATGAAAATTGGTCAACACCTGCAGAATTTCAAGGAACATTTTCCTGGCCTAAATATCATCCCGAAGCAGCATTATATGATCCATATCCCTTCTATGATCAAACACCTTGGACCGCTGATCAGACATTCATGTTTTGGCTTTGAATCTGCCCACAACTATTTCAAGGAATTAGCTCGCAAGCAAAATTTCAAGAATTTACCAAAATGATTAGCACAACGATGTCAGTTGAAAGAGTGTGGCAATTTTGCAGATACCAGTGAAGTGGCTCAATCACACCCCCTCTTTGCAACTGAAAAAAACTTTGGACCTTTGAAACCAGTAACTGGAAAAGAAAGGGCCTCTTTGAGAGCCAAATTTGACCTATTTGGCCTGTTACCTGGCATCAGTCTTCAGGACAGTTACAAGACATCCTGGGTGGTATGCCATGGCACAGAGTTTAAAAGAGGTGGTATCATTGTTTGCAAGGTTGAGGAAGATGGTGAAAGACCTGTGTTTGGTTCTATTAATCAAATCTGGACTTTTAATGACTTTGTGTATTTTGAATACCAGCCATTAGAAACATTGTGTTT